AAAAGTGGAGTAACAGCCGAGCAGAAAAACTGAAACGCAGGCCCATATACGATAAAGACAGACTCTGGACGAGTCCAACATTAGTTCTCCACCCTGATATCTCCTCCACCTCCGTGTCTACGGTTAAACCCACTCCCTCGAAGTTTGCCTCTGTGAAAACTACATTACCCATAAGGCGTTGCGCCGTGCGGCGTGGACGCTAAGCCAATAAAGAAACGCAATGGGCGTTTCCATGCGTGCAGTGGGCGGGACTTCCGGGGGCGCCCTAGTCATTTTCGAGGCTCATAGCTCAGTCCATCTGATCAAAGGTTCAGGGAAAGTGCTTCTGATCTGAGGTGACCAGAGCAGGAAGGCGCGAGAGGAGGCAGGCGTTGCCTCACCGCACAGAGACTAGTCTGAGGCTCGGCGGCGGCGCTCAGGGTGTCCCGGGTCCCCGCCCCAGTCGTGCTGTCCCGGCGCAGCTCTGCCCACATAGTCCGATGGCGGCGGTCGTGCTGAGGGACCCTGCTCAGGTGAAAGCTGCATCCTCTGGGCCTCACCCGCCCCAACTCTCCTTCGAATCCTAAAGCCGTGTGAGGGGCGCCTGCTCAGGTTCCTGGATCCAGAATGGGGCGCTCATGGGTGGGATCCCATTTCTGACAGCCAGTGTGATGGGATGTGGAAGAGAGTTAACAGGCAGAGGGACCAGCTTGTTTAAAGTCTTGGAGGTGCGACTGAGTTCAAAGTCCTAAACCTGAGGGTTGTCTCGTGTCTGCAGGGGACAGCTTGTAAGGGAACGAGTCACAGGTGGAATGACAGCCCGAGCAGCTGGGCCTTCATTCTGATGGTGGTGGTGGCCACGGAAGGTTGTGAACCGTAGAGTAACTCGATCTATTTCTCAGTTTCCCAAAGGCTCCTCAGGGGACTACAGACTGGGTGGGAGTGATGAGGGTGAAGACAAGGAGACCTACGACTAGGTAAATCCAGTAGGTTCATGGAGAGTTCTGGTGGGACTGGACCGTAGAAGTGGCAATAGAGGAGGGGGGAGTGATCAGAACTCCGATGCACTTTAAAAACTGAGCAGACGGGATTTCTTGCTGCATCATATGTGGCTGTGAACGAAAGTAGGAAATGAAGGACCAACCCAGCTTTTTGTTTGTTTGTATTTTTGTTTGTTTGCTTTTTCGTGAATGTCTGGAAAGATGGAGATGGGGAAGTCTGTGCAGGGAGTAGGTTTCAGGAAGATTAAGAGCTGGATTTTAGACATGTTGATCTTGAGATGACCCAGAGTGGGGGTGTCACATGCAGCTTGTCCTTCACGTCTGGAGTTCTGGTGAAGGATCTAGGCTGGTGATATCCAAGGGATGGTTGTTGGAGATTTGAACCAGGACAAGGTCTGGGGTTCATATTTAGGAGGGATAGATGGGCCTGGAGGGTCAGGCTGCCTCCAGAGGGGTGGAGTCCTGTGGTCCAAAGTAGTTCTGGCTGGTGTCTGAAGGAAAGGAGGGTTATAGAATATAAGGATTCAGGACTGGGATGGAAACTGAGGTATTGGGTGGTATAGATTTGCCACCTCAGGCTGAGCAGGCCCTTGTGTTCACTCCTCAAGGAGAAAAGGAAAGGTCACCCAAGCTGGTGGAGCAGCCCCTTTGGTGTACAAGTTCCCCCAGCTTTTAGGGCAAGAGGGACCAACTACTCCAACGGAAGGGATCTCAGCAGAATTGCTTTCAGGGGAGTGTATAGCAGGCAGTCAGGTTGCCAAAAGGGAATGTTAGGTACTTGGTTTCCTCAGGCCCAGGCTCCCAGTGTAGTAACTTGTGAATTTATAACATGAGTACTTATTTAAGCACTAAAGGATCAAAGTTCCTTCACATACAGAGGGAATTAAAATAGCATTTTAACAAGTTAAATTGATGCAAGCACTTAACTACTTGAAAACAATGTGCTGCTAAGCATTTGATTAAAATCAAATGACTTATGTATCACCTTCTTAGTTTAAAAGTATGTAAAAACCCTACATTTTCAAAACTTGCCAGTTTATTTCCACTGAAAATGTTGACAGAGGCATTGATTATACACACGGTAAGAGTTGATACTTAATACTTGACACATGGGAATGAGTTTGATACAAGCAATGGTCCTATTGGGCGGCTACCATTATTATCCCCATGATACACATGACAACACTAAGGCACAGGGAGGTTGAATACTTGTCTGAAGGCACACGACTGGTAAGAGGCATCAGTGAGGATTGAGGCCTAGATGGTGGACGGTCAGGCACACCTGACTCCAAGGTAGGTGATGAGGCTTGGATGGTCCTTTGCCAACATCATTGCCTGCTTCTGAAGTCCTTGTTTTTCCTTAGGTTCCTATGGCTGCAGAATCACTTTCACACCATGCAGAGGTAAGTGGAGGATGTCTCATCTCCTCATCATCCTCAGCTCCCACCTGTATGGTCTCCAGTATTGTGGTATCCTGGGACTCCTTCCTTGCTATTCTCCCTAGTCTTCCACCAGAGTTCCCTGGAAGGTAGTCACACAAAGTAGGGGTCCTGAGTCCTCACCAGGGATTATATGGAGAGGTTCCCATTTCTGGCAAATGACGGCATGAGATTTAGGTGTTACAGTCACAGCGAACACCAATAGAAAATGCTTAGAGGTGAGGTTGAGCTGGGAATGTTCAAGCAACCTTAGGTCTCCATTATAGCTGGTGGAAACAGCAGGAGAAAGGAGGTAGGCCAGGAAAGGTAGCCTGAGGAGCTGAGCCTTTATTCTGAGGGTGGTGGGAGCCATAGAAGGTTTGGAGCATAAGAGGAAAGTGACCCAGTCTCAAGAAGCTTTACCTGCTGCAGAGTAGAGAACTGTGGGGTTGAGGGTAGAAACAGGGAGACCAGGGAGGAGCTACTATGATAGTCCAGGTGAGTGCTGCTGGGTACTCAACAAGAGTGGTGGCTGTGGAAGTAGTAGATATGGTTGGAGTCCATGTCTGTTTCTTAAGTAGGTCTGAGCAGGCTTTATAGACTGTATGTAGGGTGGGAAAAAGAAGTGGAGGGGTCAGGGGTGACTGATGTTTGGTCTCAGCTGCTAAAGCAGGGAAGTATCACCATGTGGGAGTTGGTGATAAGAGTAAAATTATCCTTGGGAATTGGGAGTTAGGGTTTGGCCGTGTTGAACTGAGATATCCCAGAGACCCTTGAGTGGATTCTTTGGGGGAGCGCCTGGACGCACAAGTCTGGAAGACACCTATGATATGGTTGGTGTATGCACTGGGATGGAGCCTTTGATCAGATTTAGGAAGGGGCTTCTTTGGGTTCTGTTTTCCATGCCGTTCAGTACAGAGGAGGGGAGCATGAGGGCAAGGACTGTGTCTCTTGTTTGGGCAGCTGGATAGGAGTGGTGGGCTTCACAAGGACATGAGGGAGAATAATGTCCATGGGGAAGGGAGTACAGGAATGAGGAGGGTCGGCTGGTGGCAAGGTTTCTCTGGGGAGCAGACATGAGATGGACATGGAGACAGAGCAGGAAGTGAGTTAAGATGACAGTGAATAAGTGATTTAAGCCTGGCGCCACCGCTTATTCATCCAACTCTGGGATTACCAGGATTTTATTGTGACCTGTGCTGGGACCCAGGAAGTTTCACTCAGAGTGGTGAATTAGCTCAAGATAGAATGGGGTCATCTGAGAAAAATCACTATGCCTGCTTTGTGAGACAAATGGGCCTGGGCTTCGAATGATGGTCAGAGGAAGGTTGAAGCTGGGAGGGAATGACTTTGCAACACAGAAACGGAAGAGGGTAAAGTGATCTGAAATCTGTGTGTGGTTCCTGGTGTCACACATGGGAAGATAAGCAAGGATCAGGGCCAAGTTGTGAGGCCTTCATAGCAGGGGCTTGAGAGTTGCCCCTGGCAGTCATGGCCATTAGAGGTCTGGGACAGGATGGAATTCTGATTACATTTGCCAAGCACCCTCTGGATGCCGTGTGCAGATGCATGTGGTGAGGCCAGAGGGCTGTTAATGATGTGGTGTAGAGGGTGGTGGTGGCTGTGAGGGGTCAGTGATAAAAGGAAGGTGTGGTACAGAGAGCATGTACACATTGGGAGGAAGTGTGAATGGATGGTGCAGGGCCCTAGTACTGGGGGCTTAAGGGAGAACAGTGACCCAACGTTGTTTGCACTGGGGGAGCATGATCTGGAGGACCCCAGGTGAACTGTCTGGCAGGAAGAGGATGGGGCTCTACATTCCAGGCCCAGAGCTTAGATGGACCCTTTCTGCCTACCTGACTCTTGCTGCTGAGTACTGAACACAGTGATTGTGGGACCTTGAGGAGAGAGGGTGCATCAGGGGCAGAAGGGCCTGGTATCTCCTGTTATGTGGGGAGAAGGGGAGGAGAGTGAGCAGGGGTGGATGTTTGGGACGATGCAGAGTCTTGGGGAAGGAGGCTTCATGTATAAACTTAAGTCTCCCCATTTCTGCAGGCCCATGTGACCTTTGAGGATGTGGCTATCTACTTTTCTTGGGAGGAGTGGAGGCTGCTTGATGAAGCTCAGAGGTGCCTCTACCACAGTGTGATGCTGGAGAACTTTTCGCTTTTGGCCTCTCTGGGTAAAGTCCTCACAGCCCCCTCCAGCATCCTGAGCTGGGCTCTGCTCTTTCTCCTTGGGGCAAGTCTATCCATCCCAAAACTGGACCATGGGCACTGCTGCTTTCCCCAGTGTCCTGGAGTAGGTATTGGAGGTGATGGGCCTGGGCTATGTGTACTAACCCCTTCTCTCCCTGAAGTTCCCCAAAGCCATGCAGGAAAGGGTTTGGGGGTCTGGAGTCTTACAGTGAGCCTATTGGATCTCACCCTGTTGGCCTGTTGATCTGGTGATGCTGTGCAGATCCATGCAGTTCTGTGCCCCAGATTCTGCCCTCTTCCTCTAGCCGACATACCTTGGGGTCTCCTTGTATGTTTGGGACGATGCAGAGTCTTGGGGAAGGAGGCTTCATGTATAAACTTAAGTCTCCCCATTTCTGCAGGCCCATGTGACCTTTGAGGATGTGGCTATCTACTTCTCTTGGGAGGAGTGGAGGCTGCTTGATGAAGCTCAGAGGTGCCTCTACCACAGTGTGATGCTGGAGAACTTTTCGCTTTTGGCCTCTCTGGGTAAAGTCCTCACAGCCCCCTCCAGCATCCTGAGCTGGGCTCTGCTCTTTCTCCTTGGGGCAAGTCTATCCATCCCAAAACTGGACCATGGGCACTGCTGCTTTCCCCAGTGTCCTGGAGTAGGTATTGGAGGTGATGGGCCTGGGCTATGTGTACTAACCCCTTCTCTCCCTGACGTTCCCCAAAGCCATGCAGGAAAGGGTTTGGGGGTCTGGAGTCTTACAGTGAGCCTAGTGGATCTCACCCTGTTGGCCTGTTGATCTGGTGATGCTGTGCAGATCCATGGCAGTTCTGTGCCCCAGATTCTGCCCTCTTCCTCTAGCCGACATACCTTGGGGTCTCCTTGTGCTAGTGGTTGAGGTACCGACATGATTACTACTTGGCTGCATTGTTCATGCACGACCCTCCTCCATAATCTTTTTGTACTATTTAATTTTAGTTTTCTTTCCTGTGGTCTGTCATGGGATGAGTCACTGTGACCCAGTGCTGGCCACTCACCTGTCCTGTCTTTCCCTTAGGACTTGCATCTTCCAGGACCCATGAAATTACCCAACTGGAAGCATGGGGAGAGTCATTCATGCCCGCCCAGAGAGTCATGACTCCAGCTGTGCCAAGAGGTATTTGGAAGGTAGAGCTGGGGGAGGTATGAGCTCAGGGATGGGTTCAAATCATACCAGGAGTCTTTCCTGTGGTTCCCAATATATTGATGCGAGTGCAAGGGGACATGACCGATTTTCATGTTTTCTTCCCCCACTGCCCACTTATCATTTTTATTCTGATTTCTGACCCAGGGCTATTCTCTGCCTTTCTGTCCTCCATGTACCACCCATTCTTCTGCAGTGTTCTCCAACTGTGGCTTTACCGAATATTTTGTAAGGTTTGCACTATCCTTGTATAGTCCTTGAACACCAGGTATTCAGTTGTAGTTGATTTTTCTTGGCCCGCACACACCTTTCTGCTCTTTGTTCCTATGTCTCCAGCAGCTGATGCCCTTTGGAAAGGCTTTTGCAGCGGACTGTGTTGGGCACCCTGCCTCTCATCCCTGTCCTGCATCCCATCCTTGTGTCGTTTTTCTGGGGAGTCCTCCCCCAATCTTTGAGCCTGCCAGAGTCAACGCTGCTGCACAGTGGGTCCTTTCCCACCTTGACCTCAGCCCCCTCATTCTGCCAGCAATCCCAGGGACTCATCACTGGATGTGTCAGATACATATTTGTGAGGGTGCTGCTCAAAGCCTACATACACTTCCTCACACCAAGGTCTACATACACTTCATCAGCATTTCTCTGTGTTCAGGTTGTTGGCACGGAGTGGAGGCTGAGGAGGCACCTTTTGATCAAGGAGCTTCTGTAGGAGTGCTGCATGCACATGTCTACCAACATCAGAAGCTGTACTGTGGAGAGAAATCTTTAAAAAGAGAAGAGGACAGGGTCCCAGTTTTGAGGAGCTGCAGAGTTCACCTGTCAGAGAAGCCCTTCCAAAGTGGAGAGGGTGGGAAGGACTTCCTGACCAGCTCGTGTCTTCTCCAGTACCAGGTGACTCACAGTGGTGGGGAGCCGCACAGGAGCACTGACAGTGGGGAGGCCTTTCATTCTAGGAAAAGACATTATAAATGCACTGAATGTGGGAAAGCCTTTGGTCAGAAATATTTACTTGTTCAGCACCAGAGACTCAGTGGTGGGGAGCCGCACAGGAGCACTGACAGTGGGGAGGCCTTTCATTCTAGGAAAAGACATTATAAATGCACTGAATGTGGGAAAGCCTTTGGTCAGAAATATTTACTTGTTCAGCACCAGAGACTACACACTGGAGAAAAGCCTTATGAATGCAGTGAATGTGGGAAATTATTTAGCCATAAATCCAACCTTTTTATACACCAAATTGTTCACACTGGAGAAAGGCCTTATGGGTGTAGTGAATGTGGGAAATCCTTTAGCCGCAATGCTGACCTCATTCAACACCGGAGAGTTCACACTGGAGAAAAGCCTTTTACATGCAGTGAATGTGGAAAAGCATTCAGGCATAATTCCACACTTGTTCAGCATCACAGAATCCACACTGGAGTAAAGCCTTATGAGTGCAGTGAATGTGGGAAATTCTTTAGCTTTAACTCCAGCCTAATGAAACATCAGAGAGTTCACACTGGAGAGAGACCTTATAAGTGCAGTGAATGTGGGAAATTCTATAGCCACAAGTCCAGCCTTATTAATCATTGGCGAGTACACACTGGAGAACGGCCTTATGAGTGCAGTGAATGTGGCAAATATTTTAGCCAAAGCTCTAGCCTCATGCAGCACCGAAAAGTTCACACTGGAGAAAAACCTTTTAAGTGCAATGAATGTGGGAGATTCTTTAGTGAGAACTCGAGCCTTGTTAAACATCAGAGGGTTCACACAGGAGCAAGGCCTTATGAGTGCAAAGAATGTGGTAAATTTTTTCGTCACAGCTCCAGTCTTGTTAAACATCGAAGGATTCACACTGGAGAACAGCCTTATGAGTGCAGCAATTGCGGGAAATCCTTTAGCCAACGGTTCAAACTCATTCAACACCAGAGAGTTCACACTGAAAAAAAAGTCTTGAATTCAGCAAGTGTGGGAAAGTGTTTAGACACACCTCAACCTCATTCAATAATGTAGGTTTTACAGAGCTGAGACACTGTAAGAATACATTGAATATGGAAAAGCCTTGAATTAAAGTTCTGCTCTGATTCAGCAACAGAATCTTCACAACCTAGATGGGCCTTATGAATGCAGTGAATGTGGAGAAAGGCTTCAGCCTAACCTTGTTCAGCATGAGAAAGTTCAAACTGGTGAAAGGCCTTAAGAGGGCAGGGTATGTGCTGTTTCTTAGTCAATATAACCTGACAGAGAGAAACTGTGAGAGTAGCCTTTATGAGGAAGCCAGAAATTGAATATTATTCATCCAAAGATGTACACTGGGGGCAGGATGAGAATTCTTGACAGATTGCCCTTCCCAGGAAAATAGCCCTCTGTCTGGGAGCTCTAGGGAGAAGGAGCCCTCTGTTCTTGGCTGCATGAATCTGGAGTGGAGTTTCGATCTTGCTGAGTTTGAAGTGGGTCAGGAGGGAAGGAGTGGTCTTGGTCCAAGTGTGATTGACTCCTGCTGTTCTTACTGAGTGTCTGGTTTTTTGGAATAAATATTTCTTTATTTGCTGTATACCCTTAGTGTAATTTCTAGAGACTTTGAATTGTGCTTTTATAATTTTCAGCAGTTTGGCTGGGGAGCAGTTTCGCAAAGCTCCTCACACTCTCATGCTGGAAGTTGGTTTGAATGTTTAAATTTTTAAGAATCTGCCAAATTGTGTTTTAAATGGTTATGCATTTCATATTTCCTCCTGGAGTATTAGATTTCCAGTTTATTCACATCCTTACTGACAATTTGTATGTATGTAAATCATGGGCCATTCATTTTTTGTAGGTGTGTAGTAGTATTTCATTATGATTTTAATTTGCTTTCCCCTTATGATTCAGTATTGGGCATTTTTTCATGTGATTACTTGTTACCCATATAGCTTCTTTAATGAAATGTCTGTTCATATTATTGTTCTGCAATTTCTTAATATTTCTGGAGATGAGTTTCTTATTTGATATAAGCTTTGCCAATATTTTCTCACAGTCTGTGGCTTTTGTTTTCATTTCTTAACAGTATCTTTTCTAGAACATACTTTCTTAATTTTCATGAAGTCCAGTTTATTCATTTGCTCTTTTAGTGATTGCGCATTTGGCGTTGCATTTTCTTTTGCTGTACCATGTCTTTGGCTTTAAATAAAAGCCTTATGTGCATATGGTATTGGAGTCTCATGAGTCTTTTAAATATCCAATCTTGTGAAATCTTTGTAGACTTAAATACAGATATGGAATTCAATGTATATAGAAATGTTTGTATGTGTACATATCTCCTATCTCTTCCAAGAAAGGCTAGCAATTATTGGCATTCTAGCAGCTTTGAGCATATGGATTTAATGCCCAGTTATTGGTTTATAAATATAAACCCTTAGAGAAGAAGCTGTTTCCAGGTTGGGCAGGAAAGGTACATGAGCCCAGGAAATACTCTTGGCATTCTAGCAGCTTTGAGCATATGGATTTAATGCCCAGTTATTGGTTTATAAATATAAGCCCTTAGAGAAGAAGCTGTTTCCAGGTTGGGCAGGAAAGGTACATGAGCCCAGGAAATACTCTTGCATTAGAAAGTAAAATCTTCGGGCCGGCCCGTGGCTCACTCGGGAGAGTATGGTTCTGATAGCACCGAGGCCACAGGTTCGGATCCCATATAGGGATGGCCAGTTGCTCACTGGGTGAGCATGGTGCTGACAACACCAAGTCAAGGGTTAAGATCCCCTTACCGGTCATCTTTAAAAAAAAAGAAAGTAAAATCTTCAAAGGATATGTTGATGTATTAGCTTTCTATTGCTGTCGTAATGGGGCCGGCCCGGTGGCGCACTGGATAGTGCGCTGCTTGGGAGGCGCGGCGGCGCTCCTGCCCGAGGGTTCGGATCCCACATACGGACCGGTTCCCGCTCACTGGCTGAGCGAGGCGCGGGAGCAACACCGAGGGTTGCGATCCCGTTGCTGGTCCCCGGTCCGGTACGGGGGCAACACTGAGGGTTGCGATCCATTGCCGGACACGGAAAAAGACAAAAAAAAAAAAAAAGAAAGAAATTGCCACAAACTTCTGGCTTATACAACAGGAATATATTATCTTACAGTTCTGTAGGTCACAAATACTACATGGGTCTCAGTGGGTTAAAATTAAGGTGCTGGCAAGATTGTGTTTCTTTCTGGAGTCTCTAAGTAGGAATCTGTTTCCTGCTCATTTGAGTTGTTAGCACATTTCAGTTCTTCATGGTTCTAGGACTGAGATTCCTGTTTTCTCAATGGTATCAGCTAAGGGTCGTCCCTGGAACACATAAGAACTTTTACAGAATATTTAAGGAGGAAGTAGGACAAACTGTACACAAACTTTCAAAAAGATAAAGGTTTAAACCCTTCTTGACTAAACTAATAGTGTGAAAGTGAGCATTAACATGGTACCAAAAGCAGGCAAAGATATTAAACCTACAGATCAATACCCACACGAGCATAGACACAAAACCTTAACAAAATTTTAGAAAATTGAATGCAGCCATATACATATATAAACAATAATAAATCATAACCTAGTGAGGTTTATCAGGAATGTGAAGTTGATTTAATAATTGAAACTCTTATTGTAATCTCTATTAACAGACTAAAATTAAAAAACAGTCATCTCAAAGATATAGAAAAAGCATTTCACAGAATCAAAACTAGCACATGATAAAAAAACTTTCAGAATACTAGATGGCAATTTCCTCTGCCCAATGTAGGGCATCTATGAAAAACCAACCACTGACACCATATGTGATATATATTTGATCAAACATTTGAGAAGCTGAATGCTTTTCCCCTGATACTAAGAATAATATAAATATATCAATTTGAAATTGATTATAGACTTTAATGTAGAAGATATTTTTTACAATCTTCTAGAAAATAACGTTAAGAGGAAAGCTCATTGACCTTGGGTTAGGCAAATATATCTTATGTAGAAAACAAACCATAGAATAGAAATTATATGCTGGATGTTATCAAAATTAAAAACTTTTGCTGTTCAAGAGGCACTTAAGAAAATGAACTGAAAATGGAGGGAGACTGGGAAAAAAATATTTGCAAAANAAAAAAACTTTCAGAATACTAGATGGCAATTTCCTCTGCCCAATGTAGGGCATCTATGAAAAACCAACCACTGACACCATATGTGATATATATTTGATCAAACATTTGAGAAGCTGAATGCTTTTCCCCTGATACTAAGAATAATATAAATATATCAATTTGAAATTGATTATAGACTTTAATGTAGAAGATATTTTTTACAATCTTCTAGAAAATAACGTTAAGAGGAAAGCTCATTGACCTTGGGTTAGGCAAATATATCTTATGTAGAAAACAAACCATAGAATAGAAATTATATGCTGGATGTTATCAAAATTAAAAACTTTTGCTGTTCAAGAGGCACTTAAGAAAATGAACTGAAAATGGAGGGAGACTGGGAAAAAAATATTTGCAAAACATCTAACCAAAGGGGCTGGCCTGTGGCTCACTTGGGAGAGTGTGGTGCTGACAACATCAAGTCAAGGATTAAGGTCCCCGTATTGGTCATCTTTTCTTTTTTTATTTTTTAATCTAATCAAAGATTGTTTTTTAGTACTAAAAGAAAAAATACAAAGATTGTTATTCAGGGCATATATAAAGAACCCTTACAACAATAAAACAAACACAATTAAAATGGTGTAATGGACAAATAATAAAAAATTAAACCATTTCACCAACAGGTACATAAATGGAAAGTGCACATGAAAATATGGTCAAAATCATTAGTCATGAAGGAAATAGAAATTAAAAGCACAGTGAGGTGCTGTGTTTATTTGGGTGAAATTCAATACAAGTTGGTGAAGATGTGAAAGAGCTGGGACTGCACTGCTGGTGGAAATGCAGAATGGTGAAACCACTTCTGAAAACAGTGTAGCAGTTTTAAAGGTAAATATACAACTCATAGCACAGCAATATTGCCCATATGTATGTCCCTAAGAGAACAAAATCATATCCCATAAGTACTTATGCTTGAATGTTCCCAGCAGTTTTATTCAAAAAACCAAAAGCTAGGGTTTAAAAACAAAAACAAAACCAAAAATCCTGAAATGTAAAATGTTCGTGAATAGGGTATATGTATGTCCCTAAGAGAACAAAATCATATCCCATAAGTACTTATGCTTGAATGTTCCCAGCAGTTTTATTCAAAAAACCAAAAACTAGGGTTTAAAAACAAAAACAAAACCAAAAATCCTGAAATGTAAAATGTTCGTGAATAGGGGAATAGATAATCAACTGTGGTGTATTGTAACATGAAATACTATTTAACAATATAAAAGAATGAAACACGAATACAAGCAAAACCAACGTAGATAAACTTTTAAAACATTGTGCTAAGTTAAAGAAGCCAGACACAGAAAATGACACACAGTATGGTTCTATTCATATGAAAAGGAAAAAGTGGCAAAACCAGAATAAAAGAAGGCAGATCAGTGGTTATCAACCTTGGGGTTGTTTTTGGGAGAGAGGAGAGGGGTGAGTGTTTGACTAAAAAGAGCACAAGGGAACATCATGGGACAATGGAAATTGTCTTTGGTGACTGTATCGGTGATTACATGATAGTATATGTTGGCCAGTACTCATCGAATCGTACACTTAAAATTGGTGAATTTTATTCTGTATAAATTGTACTTCAATAAGTCTGTTTAAAGAGAAAAATAAAAGAATCCATGAGTCCAGAGACATAAATGAACGAGTAAATGAAATAGGGAAGAAAAAGTTTTACTTTAAAGTAAAATGCCAATTAAAGTAGATGGAGGTAGAAAATCATCAATAAGAGTTAAAACTGGTAGCATGAAAGATTAATGAGGAACAGGACTTTCATATATTCCCAAAGAGACTTTTTCGTACTTATTTACATTTATATATGAAAAATAGTAGAGGGAATGAGAAGAGCCCAGTCAGCAGGAGATTCTCACACTGACAAAATTCATGAATATTCTTGACCATATTCACGTTTTTAAATCATATTTTGTCAGAATTAAATTTCATTTCACATTGATACTGTGAAAAATATTTTATTTTCCTACAATACAACGAAATATTTCAATGGAGTAAGTGATTACGTACTATAACTAAGCCCTTGCAGACTTGTATAACTGAAACAGCAGTTTATGTTTCAAAGTAAATGAAAATGATTTAGTAATTGTTTATAATTTTTTAATCCAGCTCTTTTTTTTTAAAGATGACCGGTAAGGGGATCTTAACCCCTGACTTGGTGTTGTCAGCACCACGCTCTCCCAAATGAGCTAACCGGCCATCCCTATGTAGG